GGGGCCCTGAGAAGATGCGACCTTGTTTCTGCATCATCATTGATGCAATGCTTCGGGCTCCTGTGGGAAGTCCTCATGGCTCCAGGGACACAGCAGCAGGATAACTGAACTGGAAATTCTTGGTGCTCTGGAGGAACGCCCCAGAAGCCCAAGGATTCCATCCGAAACCCACAGGGTTACTGAAGCATGTTTTTTGTTGGGGGGGGGGATCCTGGGGACATGCTTCGGGTTGCTGCAGAGGGTCCTCAGTTTCACGAAAGCCAATTGATGATGTATGACATGCTGCGAACTCAAGGGCAGTTTCAGTAAAACCCCAGGGTCTCAAAAGAAAGTGTCATGACTACTCGAAGGTTGAAGTGTTTTGTCCAGGAGTCCAGAGGGGAGGCTCCAGATTCCGTCTGGAAGCCCTTTGGTTTCCCCAGGAAACGCTCAGGAATACAGAAGAAGTTACCCATATTAAAAACAATGAAAAATAAAAAAGAAAGAAATACAACAAGAAGTTATCCAGATTTGTACTGGAGTCGGTTTTTTCCCAACCATCCTGTGGTGTTGGGTCCTCGTCTTGAAGAGACGGTGCCCCGCGTCTCCTTCCTCCTCCTGCTGCCTCCTCCCTCCTCCTCCTCTCCCTCGTTGCCTCTGCTCACGGCGCACCCCTCACACGTTTCGTAGCCCCATAAGGAGCTCCACCGAGGGCTCCAGTGCTGCCGTCCGCATGCGTCCCGCACACCCATTTCGGGACAACCCTCACACGTTTCGTGGCCCCACAGGGAGCTCCACCGAGGGCTCCAGTGCTGCCGTCCGCATGCGTCCCGCACACCCATTTCGGGACACTCCACGCACGTTTCGTGGCCCCATAGGGAGCTCCACCGAGGGCTCCAGTGCTGCCGTCCGCATGCGTCCCGCACACCCATTTCGGGACACCCCTCACACGTTTCGTGGCCCCATAGGGAGCTCCACCGAGGGCTCCAGTGCTGCCGTCCGCATGCGTCCCGCACGCCCATTTCGGGACACTCCTCACACGCTTCGTGGCTCCATAGGGAGCTCCACCGAGGGCTCCAGTGCTGCCGCCCGCATGCGTCCCGCACACTCATTTCGGCACACCCCTCACACGCTTCGTGGCCCCATAGGGAGCTCCCCCGGAGGCCCCAGTGCTGCCGCCCGCATGCGTCCCGCACACCCATTTCGGCACACCCCTCACACGTTTCGTGGCTGCCCGCATGCGTCCCGCACACCCCTTTCGGCACACCCCTTACACGTTACGTGACCTCATAGGGAGCTCCACCGAAGGTCCCAGTGAGTGTGCCCGCATGCGCCCCGCAGACCCATTTCGGCACACCCCTCACACGTTTCGTGGCCGCATAGGGAGCTCCACCGAAGGTCCCAGTGCTGCCGCCCGCATGCGTCTCGGACACCCATTTCGGCACACCCCTCACACGTTTCGTGGCTGCCCGCATGCGTCCCGCACACCCCTTTCGGCACACCCCTTACACGCTTCGTGACCTCATAGGGAGCTCCACCGAGGGCTCCAGTGCTGCCGCCCGCATGCGCCCCGCAGACCCATTTCGGCACACCCCTGACACGTTTCGTGGCCCCATAGGGAGCTCCACCGAAGGTCCCAGTGCTGCCGCCCGCATGCGGCACACCCCGCACACGCTTCGTGGCCCCATAAGAAGCGCCACCGAAGGTTCCAGTAGGTGTGCCCGCATGCGTCCCGCACGCCCATTTTGGTACACCCCTCACGCGCTTCGTGGCCCCACAAGGAGCTCCACCGAAGGTCCCCGTGGCGCAGTCCGCTTAGTACACCTCCGTCGAAGGCCGTCGGAGTTCCGCGCCTCGCTCGCCCGTCGTCGCTCTGCCAAGCAGCAAAAGCCTTGCCCGCTATCAGCCAGCCAGTTAGCTCTCTTTGCTGCGCGCAGCGGAGGACCCGCGCGCGTCGCTGGGACCCCTCCAGGGCGATCTGCGCGCGTCGCTGGGACTCCGCGCCGCGCTGCGCCCGCAGCCTTGGACTTTTCAGTGCGCGGGCAATGATGGAGTAAAAGAAGGGGAGGAAGCGGGCGCGATCCTCGCGGTGGCGTCGCGGCGCGCGGGCGATGCCGTCGGGGAGTCCCGGGGAAGCTCCTTGCGGCGGCCACGCCCAGCGTCACGAGTACTCAGAGGCAGTCATTCTCAAACTATTGACATTCATATACAATTGCACCATGCTTTGTCATACTCGCGTTCATGCACGTAGATTCGCTTGCACGCAGATTCTTTCACAGTCAGACGCACTCGCGCTCATATTCACCCGCGCTCAGTCTCCCTACGTACTCAGATCAACCGTTTTCGTTCGCGTTGTGTACCACGCCACTCATTTCGGCACACCCCTAGCACGGTTCGTTGCCTCATAGGGATCACCACCGAAAAAGGGAATCACAATTGCGGTACTCACACCTGCAGATGGTCGGGTCCTTCGTCAGGCTAATTTTATCCTCAGGCGATATCGTCGTGACAAGGGAGGGGT